AAAGGAATAGCATTACCACTTGTTGTTAGGGAGACTCCTATATATGTCAACCTTTATCCTCCACGGACAGGCAAACCTGCAAAAATGCTCAACCCATCTTCATATCTGAAAGGACACTCCCAACGAAGCCTCTCGAAATACTCAGCTTTCTTCCCCCCTCAATAATACCTATGCAAACCAGCCACACAAGAGCAAGAGTATCTCATATCATCAGGTCAAAAGCAAGAGTATCCCATATCATGCTTTTTCCCTATCTTTTCCTTTGGCTTTGTTCTTACCTGCAATCAGTCAGCACTTGTAATCAAACTTCCAGTCAGGAACTGACTGCTTGGAACCCCTTGCCTGATTACTTACCTGGCATTGCTCTCGAGTACTCATCTTCAACATCTTATGCTTCCAGAGAAGATATCACATCTGCCTAAGGAATAGATAGGGCAAGTGAGAAGGATATAAGGAAGCATGTGGAGACAAGCGTAACAGAACACGTGCTGATACATCCACTACTTTGTCAACAACAAAAGTATTCCATATCATCAGGGTTGAACGTACTCTAGATTTGATGAACTTGTTTTGACCCTCAAATTCTTGAGTCGGCCTTATACTCTGGAGGAAACCAAAAAACCCTCCAGCCTAGTTCAAGAATAAGCCTGTGGAAAGTTACTTCTTCAAAAGCAAAAGTATTTCATATCATCTCTTCTCCATTTGCTTCTCCTTATCCTTGTTGCTGTTTACGACATAAGGAGAAGGAGAACAATCAACCGGAAGCCGAAGTCGAACCTCTGATCCAGGTTGCTTGCTTGGAAGTCTGATTGCTTACCTTGTCTTACCTCATTCGGCAAATCTCCTAGCTCGGCGACTTGGGGGACTCCTACTATAAGGTTTGTATCACACTTGACCAAGCCCGAAACTACAAGTAAGCTTCAAGTGAAATTGATACATTACCTTGTGCATCTTCATCGGTTAAAGATACCACCCTTGGATGGAGGAAAAGTATTTCCAGAGAAGATGCCACATCTACATATGAGACAGATAAGGCAAGTGAAAATGATACCACACTTCGGTACTTAGAAGTTTCGTGATTACTAAATGGCTTGGATCTTGCAAGTCCCCAACCGAGGAGCTTCCCTCACTCGGGAACTTAGGGGAGCACTGTTTATACCATACTTGACCAATCCCGAAACTACTGAGCACCGGTCTACGTTATACCGTCAAGGACCCAGAAGAGTTTCCTTCCAACCAGGAGGCCAATCACAACGCGACACGTGTCGACATCAGAGCCAATTATAGCTCGACACGTGTCAACATCAGAAGCCAATCACAACACGACACGTGTCAATGTAAGAATGAAACTAGAAACTCTCTTCTATAAATAAAGATCATTCTCTCAGAATATTTTAAAATGTCATTTGTACTAAATCATTCACTAGTACTCACTAAAGGAGAGCTTGAACCTATGTACTTGTGTAAACCCCTCATAATTAATGAGAACTCCTCTACTCTGTGGACGTAGCCAATCTGGGTGAACCACGTACATTTTGTGTTTGCTTCTTTGTCCCTATCCATTTACATACTTATCCACACCGGAGCAATCTAGCGAAGGTCACAAACTTAACACTTTCTGTTGTACCAAAGTTCTCATTGATTTTGTGCATCAACAAGATAAATCCTCCTGATTAAATAAAGTGAGTGTTATTTTATTTTTCTTGTCTAATATACACCACCATGAACGATAAAAAGTATATTACAATGTTTCTTCAGCATAAGAATTTGTTGATTGCAAAGTAACTTAAATGTAATACAAGTGTAAGTACCGCATGATTTAGATAGACCTTTGGCGCGCGCGTAAGTCCGTGCAGTGAACTTAATGCTAAAATGCTATACAACTAGTAACTAGCTCCTTGAACCTGAATATGTATATGGAGAAAACAAACCAATTGAAATGCCCTACAAAGGCCACTTAAATCTGTTGAAACAAATTCACTAAAACAGTGAACAGTAAAAAGAAAGTAACAATAAAACAACTAAGATATGAACTAAGCTTTGGTATTTGAAAACTATCTGGGACTGGCCTAAAGCATCCAAAACTCTTTTCTTTTCTTCATCGTCAGCTTCCCTTAAAGCTTTGAATATTTGATCTGCACTGATCGTTGTTTGCACCTCTTTCTCAGTAAACCTCTGAGCGGCTTCGTGATGATGATCAGCTGCCAAAACTGCTGCCTTAGAATTTGCTTTTTTCTTCTCCATAGCTGCCCTAGTTGCTTCTAAGGCAAGTCGTGCCTCTTCTAGTTTTTTCTCTTCTTTCAGTTTCCACTCCTCTAGCTCAATTGTCTGTATATTGAATATGAGTAAGATGAGAAGACTACAATCAGGATAATTATTGAGACACTTAAATCCAAATAATAAAATAGATGAAAGTACGGCATTACGATGTAATATAGCCAAAGTTTTCGACCAAAAAAAGAATACTCAAAGTTTAGGTGATAATTGTTCGCTACGATGCATGGACCAAATAACAAATAGATGTGAATATCATTATGCCATATACACTTAAATAGAGAAATTCTCTCTTGTCGTGTTGTTTGACCGTGAATCTAAAATTATTGATTGGGTTGAGTGTTACATAGCTGTATATTATATGAATGTGTATTCTAAATATTCAACGGTATCAGTTTATAGCAAGAATGCTTAAACAAGTTATTATGACATTGCTAATCGAATCTGGAGCTTTGGCTGTATATGCAAGTGGTCTTACCTTTATGAGAGAGATGGAAGAGCAAAGAGATTCAGTGAGATACATGCATGCAACCTAAAAACTTATGATGGTAAGAGAAAGCGCTATTAGCTAAAATGCTAGCTCTAAGTTGCTAGGAAGATTTATGACGGTTTAAATTATGCTAGAACCTTCTGTTTTGCTGCCACTGCTTCTTTGCAGGCTGCATGGTACATGTCCATTGTTTGCTTCAGCTCCACTCTAAGCCTTTTCATCTCCTCTTCCATATCTTCCTGCAAGTACCGAAAGATTTCGAATCAAAATAAACATTCTTTTGTGTTTAGTTGGTAATTGACTCGTATCCTATTCAAATGACTTACCAATACTTTCTGCGACAAGAATGGTGTTCCTCCACAACATTGTACAGTTGATGACGGTTCATGGGGAGCATAAAAATCAAAACTGTCAAAATCTTCGTCAAGTTTTGCAATACTCTCCATGTTTGATGATGATTCTAAAGGAAATCGGGTCAGTCCAGCTGGCCCAAAATTTTGGTAGAAAGATAAAATGCTATCAGTACTTGGTCTTTCTGAGCTTACAAACGAAACATCATTCTCAGCCATTGAGACCTCATCATATGCTCCGTTGATCGGACCTCTACCTCTAGATCAGACATCAACCAAATCAGTTAATTAATAAATGAGTCAAATAAGTTGAAGAAAGTTGAGGTTCCACCATAAAATCAATTGAGAATATGGGAGTAGCCCAACCTCTTAGAGCAATTCCACCCCTAAGGACTTTGCGCCAGCACCCAGCGCATTTATCCACTCAAATGAACAGTAATAGACTGGAGTGAACAGTAATAGGCCAAGGCATCTCCACCCCTAAAAAAATGCGCTGGTACCCAGCGTATTTATTTGGTGTGTTTTTTTTTAAGTTTATTTCTAATAAGATTTTTAACCAATTTCAGATAAAATTTCAAATAAACTTAAAAAAAAATACACACTAAAATAAAATTACATACTCATCAAATAAACTAAAAAAAAAACACACTAAAATGAAATTACATAAACTCATCAAATACACTTTATTCTTCAACCACAAGTTTTTTGGTATTTTTTTTTCACACAAAAAGTATATGAAAGCTTTGGTAGAAAGTGTAGAAAATATTGAAATGTGGTGTAAGGTAGAAGATGAGAGTTAGGTATTTATAGAAAAAATAAATAAATTTTTTTTTAAATTTTATGTATTTTTAATATTTTTTCTGTATGTTTTAATAAATTTTAATTAGTTAATTAACATGGACCGTTGATCTGTGATCGGACGGTATATTTTAAAAGTAAAATTTAAATTTTTTTTACCGTTGGAAATCCAACGGTCTAGAAAAACTAGCCGTTGGAAATCCAACGGATATAAGAATGCCACGTCGCTGATGGGATTCGGAGCACAAGTGGGCTGACAGCCCTGTCGGCTACTCGCGGCAGCGCCTGCGTGAAGCGCACGCGCCAAGCAAACTGCCCAGCTTCTTGCTCAGTCTGTTTTGGGCTGGGCTCTTGCCCAGCTCAGGCTGGGTACCAGTCAAATTGAGGGATGGACTTGGTTGACAGGGTGCTGGCCCTGTTTTTCTCCTGGGTCCTGGGCAAATTCCACTCCGGTGGAATTGCTCTTATAAGCCCATGCAAGGTCCCTCCTCCTATCAATGTGGGACTCATTCTCAACATGCCCCCTCACGTGTTGCGAATTTCGAGTCTAACACGTGAATCAACATAACGGGGGTGACGTGGAGCACATGTGGCCGTTTGGCTTCACACGTGGTCCCTTCTCTTATCAATGTGAGATTCATTCTCAACACGTCCCCTCACGTATTGCGAATTTTCGAGCCTAACACGTGGATCAACATAACGGGATGATATGGAGCACATGTGGCCATTTGGCTTTACACGTGGGACAACTTGCTCTGATATCATGAAGAAAGTTGAGGCTCAACCATAAAACTAATTGGCAATATGGGGAGTAGGGGGAGTAACCCAACCTCTTATAAGCCCATATAAGGTCCCTCCTCCCATCAATGTGGGACTCATTCTCAACATAAGTAACATATTGGTTGCATGTTGATAGACGTTTGCATTGTATGTTTTTTAATGTAATATTTGGTAGATATTGAAAGTTTGGCAAAATGATCCAATATTTATTGAATATATAAATGCTTACATGTGATCGGAATGGTGATCTGCTGCCCTCTCCCCAGCAGGAATATTTGGAAGTGGACGAGACGCTTCACGCATTTCACTCACCCTTCCTTGTTTGATGGTGTATACTGAGCAAATGTGGTGCCAACTTCAGGACTCTGCCTGGAATAGATTCAGATGCCTTGAATCGACGCCTACTTGAACAATATGATTTGAACATCATATGAGTTTGGACAAACAAAATTGCACATAGACGCACAATCTTACATATCTAGCTACATTGCATACCTTGTTAACCCACCAGTCCTGGATGTCGCACCAACAACAATACTCACAATGCCATGGCGGGAAATGTACTCAACTAAGGCCTCAGCTACATCTTGATCCTCCAGTAGAACAGTCTCGCATTGTACCTGATGATATTAATTTCACAAATCAACTACATCTAATTATAATTTGTCAAAACTTAAAATATTTAATCATAGACAACTAGCTTCTTAATTATATAGCGTATATAAATAGGTATGTTGATTAGATTAAAAAAAGAGTGACGGATAAAGTTTTATGTCCTCCGGATTAGGTGTAATTCCTTTTCTAAATATCATTTATTATCACTGAGGTTTCTTACAAAAAAAGAAGTTATGAATTGAATTAACCTACTCGTTTGCGTGTACAGTAGCAACGAAATGGAAGCAAGAAATCTGTATTTGGAGCATCATGAGCTTGCCCTTCATTTGATGGGTTGTTCTCTATAAGCGCCACCAAAAATAAAACAAAATATGTTAATTATTCACGCAAGAGTACTGCTATTTGTGTCATCTCAACACGCAGAAAACTTCTATGTGAGACATTCACATAAATGAGTCTCGCCTGTATTAGAAATGTGATAATTAACACAATATTAATTGATGAATAGAACTAATTATCGGACAATATGCGGCACGTGCATATGTATGAAAGATATAGAGAGAGGGAGTTACCAGTTGCATGAAGTTTATTATAGGAATTAGATTGGTGAATAACATGGACAAGCTTGATAGGAGCATGGGTGGTAGATCTAGAGACGAGATGATCAATAGCCCATTTCAAAGCATTTTGGCTGGAGACACCCTCGCCGATTGCCACTGCTATTGTCCCCGCGCCTTGATTATCATTTCCATTATCAACATTGTTATACCACATTATTCTCTTCCGCCCTTCCTCTTTCTCAACTCTCAGATTCAACAACCTCTTGCTCAAATATGAATATGGGAACATAAGTAAATTTCAAAAATAAAAAAATTATAATATAACAAAATAATGCAAAGCTTTCTGTCTCCTTCTCTCTGTCTCTCCTTCTGGACTCTTAAAACTTCCCAATTGCCTAAGGGCCAGAGGAACTTAATTATTCAAAACTACTTAAAGTTAATTAAAACAAACATTAACTCGGTTATAGCTAATTAACCCCCCATATCTACAGCATTATTTTAGAAATTTGGCCCTAGATATAGAGACGATTGATGCAGTTGCATGCCAAAACGCCCACATCGGTTAAAATTTCTAATATTAACCGAGTCTACCAACAAAGTTTTGATTCCACATGTACATACCGTCAGATGAGAGATGACTTGTTACAATGGAGAACTTGAAGAACGATGAGAAAAAAAAAAGGCAGTTAAGTTCGGTTTTTGACCTTGTAGTGATCTCTGAGAGGGTTTCCCTTACATATAGAGGAACCAATACATACGAGAGAGATAAATATACTACAGATAACAAGAGATAAATGAAAAGCCTAGGCCCTAGACTTGGTTCTCACCCTTGGTTCTCGTGCATATCGTTAGATTATGAACATCTGCAGCTAGAATACGACAACTGTAATTGTTCAATCACTGATATAAGAAAAATCACTTTTATGGTGTACAATCAAAGTTTCTCCTATTTTTTAGGATCGATCATAGGACTTTTTTAGTAGTAATTTTTCTCTATAATTTATTAAGAAAAAGAAAAAACCTCTTACCTTCTCGAGTTAATATGGAGAGAATTTATTGGGAAATTTTGATTTTTCTTCTTCTTTAATTTTTTTTTAAAATTTTTAAATTTTATATATTTGGTGAGGGTGGGAAGGGAGATGTTAGTGATCATTTTCTCCCTGAATGGTTCTTTATTATTATTTCCCCTTCCTTGATGATTTGGAATAGTCAAAATATAAGAACCAAGTGATAAATACCGAGTACATAGATGGAGAGTATATCATTGCTTTGAACCTGTAATTAATTTGAAACGTGTGCAAATCCTATTCCATTTAGATGTGGTGCGAAATGAAATTTTATAAACTCTTTTGGGTATGATATTGTAATTAAGGATTATTTGATGAATAAATGGTTATACTAGAAGGAAATTATGTTATGGAATATTAAAGTAGTTTGTTTAAACCTAGCTTGCATATAAAGCCAAATCTTATAGACAAGCAGTTCATTGTTGTCTCTCATCCTGTTGAGGGAATTGGGAGGGACCTGACAGATACAAATTAAGAGGTTTCTTATCATCACTGAATCAATGAACCATTGAGCATGTCATGCAGAAAGAGAGCACTATTTCATCAGCCAACAATCTTCGTCATGTTGCCTTCACTAGCTCACGTAGAGAAAATATCTGAATCGCCGCGGTTGTCCTTCTCTTTCAACTCTTCAATCCTCTCCACAACCTCTTTCAGATCCAATCTCTTCTCCACTTCCCCTTCACAACATTCCAACCCAATTTTCAAGAGCTTCAGCATCTCTCCCTCACTACTCTTGCCTGCCCCCATTCCTGTATCAAACACCTGATTGAACCACTCCCCCCGAGGCACCGAGTTCACCCAACTTGCCAAATCCTCCTCGCTTCCTTTACCTTGCTGCAGAAAGTTGGTGGGCAACTTCCCCGTTAAGATCTCCAAGATCAGCACTCCGAAGCTCCAAACATCGGTCTTCTTTGTAATGCGCTTGCTTTGCATGTACTCTGGGGACTTGTAGGCCACCATGATGGTGTGAGCATGTTCTTGGTTTACCACAGGGATTAGGCCGTAGTCGGTGACAAGGGGCTCGTAGGACTCGTTGAGAAGAACGTTTGATGATTTGAGGTGGCCATGGGGTGCTACTAGGCTGGGAAGCTCAGCGTAGAGATAGCGTAAGCCATGTGCTACTCCTTTGACAATCTTCAAACGGGTTGGCCAGTCAAGGCTTGGTTGGCCTAGGGTTTGGTTTCCTGATCATGAAAGTGCAAATAACACCAAGTAAATTGATTAGCCATTCATTTATGTCTATTCCTCAATCTAAAGGAGAGACTGCGGAAGAGACATGGATTGATATATACAACTAAAACATTAAAAGTAAATTGTCTATAATGACATTAAAGATTTGCAAACCATATGTACGAGAAATGCTATATGGACGACATTGCAAATCACATCTCTGATAAAGGCATTACTCCGCCTATACAAATGTGCGGCATGTCTCGATTAGAGATGTGGCATACAAATAGTTTTAATCACTTAAAAGTAGTATCTCATCAATTACTAGAACAACTAGATAATATGGTCATATTCATGTTTAGGTAAAATGCAAATATGTTTATGTTTAAAGGAAAAGGAACTTACCATGAAGATGACGAGCCAAGCTGCCGTTTTGAACATGGTCAGCAATCAAGAGCTTCTCTTCCTTCTTATAATAATAAGCCACAAGTGGAAGCAAATTAGGATGTCCCAATCTCCCAATCCTTCTCATGTGCTCTAGGAACTCCTCTCTTCCCACATTATTCATCTGCTTATACCTCTTCACAACCATCACAGGTCCGGTCAGCAAAGCAGCCTTGTAAGATGACCCAAAACAACCGCTGCCTAACACCTCCGCCGAGGCTTTCAGCAAGTCTTGCATATCAAACCTCTCCCTGTCATCTCTCACAAACGAAAGCTTCAAGCTCTGTTCACCCTTCTTTCCACTCCCTCTGCTCGAGTTTTCGGGTGATCCCGGAGCACTTGCTTGGTGCTCTAGTTCTTTTTGAACTGATCTGTTTTGGACAGTTGCTGTTGATGGTGGTGGAGCCTCTACCGATGATTCAGATGTATTTTTGCGGCGTCCAAGAAGGAAGACCAGTAAAGCAACTATGGCGAGGATTGCTACGATGACAGCGATCACAATCAGCACGATAATCCAGGGTGCGGGCTTCTTCGAGTGGGTACTGCATGCTATATTAGTTGGCCCTCCACATAGGCCTTCATTCCCTGCATGTTAAGGTGGAAAACTTTTAATTGCCTATATCTTTTAAGAACAATATTTTTGTTCTCTAGGTGCGCTCTATGCTTTTGATTTGCTTAAAAGAGGACACCAACCTAATAAATTGCTTAAAAGAAGACACTTATCACATAATAAACTACGCCATTTAGTACTATGTTCTAGTAATATTACTCTTCACTTGTAAGTGAAAGGTCTTAGGTTCGATTCTTGCCAAAGGAGAATTTGAACCACATTATTGCTAGCTCATTGTGAGACTTAGCCTACCCCTCATCCTTAGTGTAAATAATGTCCTTTGTTAAAAAAAAAATATGGAAAATTCTATTCTAATCCTTGAAAAGAAATTACTTTTTGGATGAATTATTGCCTAAGATGAAAAACTAACTATGGTCCTTGGCATTTAATTGTAATATTGAGGCTTTTATGTGTAGGTTATATATCGATTCCCATAAACAATAAAAAATTTATTTATCATTGATAATTATTATTAAGTTCTCATAATAAGAAAAGTTATTTATTATCATTTACTATCATTGTACGTGAATTTCTCTATATATGGATATACATTTTACGTACCCATGTATGTTTTTTTTTTTTTTTTATGAACAAATGATAATATCTATATTAAGAAGGTGGGAAAGTGGGTTAAGCCTCACAATGAGTTAGCAATAATATGGTTCAAATTCGCATTTGACGAGAATCAAACCTAAAACCTCTCACTTACAAGTGAAGAAGAATATCACTAGACTGTAGTACTAGGTGACCTATGTATGTTTAAATAATATAGTTACGTACCCTCACATTCAGACCAAAACTTATGTACTGATACATTTGTACCGATACTTCCTTACATATAAGTTTTTTTTTTTTAATATAAATTGCTTTTGTTTTGTTGTTGATTTTTTTTTTTAATATTAGAATTAGAATTTTGAATAAAGTTCATGTGGTAAGTTTATAAAAAATAAATGTGCTATAATTACTTAAATATTGTAAGTTATAAAAATAGGAACTTAAATTAACTTTAGAAAACCATTCATGTTAAAATTACAAAATAATTTTATCTAAGCCCTAAAATCTTAAAGTCCCAATTAAATATGTACAAGCCCTAAAAATAATTTTATTTCAGTCCTACGATGTAATGGTATTCCTCCTCATTTGCAAGCAAGTCTTAGGTTTAATTCTCGTCAAAAACAAATTTGAATCATATTATTGCTAGCTTATTGTGAAGCTGAACCCACCCCTGCCCCTTAGTATAAATATCGTTTGTTAAAAAAAAATAATATATATATATATATATATATATATATATATATAAACAAATCAACTAAACCCACCTCTTTATCTTATTTCTTCATCAACATAATAATTTGACCCACGATAAAAACTTAAAAATTAAAATCTTATTCCCCACCCACTCTAATTCCTAAAATAACCTTTATATCACAACACCACACCTCTATTGTCTTGTTTCAAGTTTCAACCACTACTCCCTCCTGATCTTTCTTTAGCAACAAAATGCGTTAATTGGTATTTTCCATATAATTTTCCCTCACTTTCGCAGCAATCAAACGCAACGTAGATTGGACTTTTCTATTCAGTAGATGTTATTCTCTGTAAAGATTGTGTCTGAAATGGATATAGCAGCATGCCCATTTGGGTTATATGCAAAAAATGCTAAATTGTTTTCTCAAAACCCCAAAAGTAAGTGCTAAAATGGTTCCGTGTGGTTGAATTGAGTTTGTGGTTTTATGCAGAAACAGTACAGACGTGTGGATATTTGTTGATAGAGCTCTGCAAACTCGTTCACGGCTCAAATTGAACCTATGCTGCAACCCTGACCAAAATGAACCTGGTGTTTCTGGTAATCTCCCTTGGTTGAGGGCCCAATCAAATAGCGATTTGGAGTTGGAACCAACTCTTAAGCCAAAACTTCCC